CTCCTCCTCCTCCTCCTCCTCCTCCTCCCCCTCCTCCTCCTATCTCTCTCTTGAGGGGAAGAGACAAGGAGGTCAGGCTTGTCGGCAGTCGATTGCCGTCCCCAACCACCGGCCTAGTGGAACATCTCTGTCTTACAGGTCCTACAGAACTGCATGAAGTTCCGCAGGGCACAGATGTCATGAGGCGGAGAGTTCCACCAGGCCAGCGCCAGGGACGAAAAGGCCCTGGCTCTCATTGAGGACAGTCGGATATCCTTTGGGCCACGGATTGTCAGGAGGCTCTTATTTCCAGAGCGTCATGCCCTTTACCCCCCCTAAATCTCCAGGAATTTCCCAACCAGGAACGGGCAATCCTCTGTTGATGTCGCTGGTTTTAGAAAGGTGCGGTTATGTACCGTTTAGGAAAACAAGTCAACAGTGTTCCCTCTAAGCTGAGTTATTGTGAGCTAGTTCACAGTTTTTTTAGCCTCGGGCGCACACATTTTTGTGTGAGGATGGGGCTCCAGAACAAACGAATTTATGCAGCAGCCAAATCGCTCGCTCACCACTTTAACGCCAGTCACTCACAAAGTAGACTTTTTGCTCACAAGACTCCACAGCTTAGAGGGAGCCTTGCTTGCAACCAGTGCTCCCTCTAAGCTGAGTCAGTGTGAGCCAGCTCATAGTTTTTTAGCCTCCAGCTCACACATTTTTGCCTTAGCTCAGGAAGGATGGCTCCAGAGAAAACTAATTGATGCAGCAGCCAAATCGCTCGCTCACAACTTTAACGCCGGCAGCTCACAAAGTAGAATTTTTGCTCACAAGACTCCACAGCTTAGAGGGAACACTGGTCACCATCTCTCTGCCTCATTCCCTCCAGCAAGCTGTCCTCATAATATATCACCTGCCTACCCTGCAGGATTGTTGTAACACTTCCGTACATTAACAGAGCTGCTGTAAGTCTCCCACCCAGCCCTTCGAATGCTCTGAAGCAGTGTACAAATGCTAAACGTCGTTATGTGTTCCGACTAACAGATAGCAACAGCTATATGTTTACTCACTACTTATTCACACAACTGCCTGTTGACTGGCGTGCAGAAAGACCACAGGTCTGTGGTTATGGGATTGAGATAGGGTGGGGTTCAAGTGCCATTAGATGTGAGAATGTATATGTGTGAAACGGTGTCTATCGCAATGCAGGTGGGGAAATGGGAGAACAAGACGCTGACCCACAAGTATTCTGTCTGGCCCCGGTTCAATTCCTTCAACGACAGCGACCCGGACAACAACCATCTCAGCATCGTCACCTTGGAGGAAGCCCCCTTTGTGATTGTGGAAGACATGGACCCCTTGACAGAGACGTGCGTGAAGAACACCGTGCCGTGCCGGAAGTTTGTCGTCATTAAGTAAGTCCATAATTTGACCTAGTTATTAAGACACTGGTTCCTTTAAGGATTTCCCCAGCTGTTTTTCTCTCCTTTTCGCTATTTTCCCTCCAGAAGGCCTTGGAAGAAAACGTAGTTAAGGCTACAGAACCAAAGAGCGGCCTGTTCTTCCTTGACCTGCAAATATCCAAGCCTTTCTGTAGGCTGCATTAATTATTTATTTAAAACATTTATTACCCGCCTTTCCACCTTACAGAACTTGAGTCAGCTTATGATATAAATAAAATAAGTCTAAAAACAGAATAGAAACCACCAAATTAATCGAGTGCAGTCCTAAGTGAAACCTCCAGAGTGAGTGGGCCAGACACAGCTTTCTGGGGAGGTTGTTCCATAATGGTGAGGCTGACACCAACAAGCCCCTGATCCCTACTACTCTCTTTTAGTGTCTTTTGGTGTCTGTTGACCAAAACAAGCTCTTTTGGTCAATAGGACAGTTAGGAGGGACTGGCCCTATAATTAACCATTGGGTCTCAGGGGAAGGCCTCAGCCTCTCTGCCCTGTTATTGGACCTCTAGAGGAACTGGTTGGCCCCTGTGTGAGACAGGACTAGATGGACCCTCACTGGTCTGACCCAGCAGGGCTCTTCTGAGGTTCTTCTCAGGGGAAGGCCTCGGCCTCTATGCCCTGTTGTTGGCCCTCCAGAGGAACTGGCTGGCCCGTGTGTGAGACGGGATGCTGGACTAGAGGGACCCTCACTGGTCTGACCCAGCAGGGCTCTTCTGAGGTTCTTCTCAGGGGAAGGCCTCGGCCTCTATGCCCTGTTGTTGGCCCTCCAGAGGAACTGGCTGGCCCGTGTGTGAGACGGGATGCTGGACTAGAGGGACCCTCCCTGGTCTGATCCAGCAGGGCTCTTCTGAGGTTCTTATCAGGGGAAGGCCTCAGCCTCTCTGCCCTGTTGTTGGCCCTCCAGAGGAACTGGTTGGCCACTGTGTGAGATGGTATGCTGGATTAGATGGACCCTCACTGGTCTGATCCAGCAGGACTCTTCTGAGGTTCTTCTCAGGGGAAGGTCTCGGCCTCTATGCCCTGTTCTTGGCCCTCCAGAGGAACTGGCTGGCCTGTGTGTGAGACAAGATGCCATACTAGATGAACCCCTGGTCTGATCGAGCAGGGCTTATCTGATGTTCTTATTCAGGGGAAGGCCTCCACTTCTATGCCCTGTTTTTGGCCCTCCAGAGGAACTGGTTGGCCACTGAGTGAGATGGGATGCTAGACTTGATGGACCCTCCCTGGTCTGATCCAGGAGGACTCTTCTGAGGTTCTTATCAGGGGAAGGTCTTGGCCTCTCTGCCCTGTTTTTGGCCCTCCAGAGGAACTGGCTGGCCACTGCGTGAGATGGGATGCTGGACTAGATGGACCCTCCCTGGTCTGACCCAACAGGGCTCTTCTGAGGTTCTTGTCAGGGGAAGTCCTCGGCCTCTTTGCCCTGCTGTTGGCCCTGTAGGGGAGCTGGTTGGCCACTGTGTGAGATGGGATGCTGGACTAGATGGACCCTCCCTGGTCTGACCCAACAGGGCTCTTCTGATGTCCTTATCAGGGGAAGTCCTCGGCCTCTTTGCCCTGCTGTTGGCCCTGTAGGGGAGCTGGTTGGCCACTGTGTGAGATGGGATGCTGGACTAGTGGGACCCTCCCTGGTCTGACCCAACAGGGCTCTTCTGAGGTTCTTCTAAGGGGAAGGTCTCGACCTCTCTGCCCTGTTGTTGGTCCTCCAGAGGAAGTGGTTGTCCACGCTATGAGACAGGATCCTGGACTAGATGGACCCTCACTGGCCTGACCCAGCAGGGCTCTTCTGAGGTTCTTGTCAGGGGAAGGCCTCGTTCTCTGAGCCCTGCCATTGGCCATCCAGAAGAACTAACTGGCCACTGTGTGAGATGGGATGCTGGACTAGATGGACCTTCACTGGTCTGATCCAGCAGGGCTCTTGTTATGTTATAATTTCCATGAGATGTTGTTCTGTCCCCAATCCACAGGCCCTCTGCCAGCTCCTCAAGAGGAGAGTCATGGTGTCGCGCCCACCTCTGTCTATGGGAATTTGGTCTGAGACCATTCTTTCCTTTGCCGAAAAACATAACGGGTTGCCCTTTGTTTGCGGTTGCAGCAACATCACCAAGGAAGGGAGGAACGTGAAGAAGTGCTGCAAGGGGTTTTGCATCGACATCCTAAAGAAGCTCTCCAAGGCCATCAAGTTCACCTACGACCTCTACCTGGTGACCAACGGGAAGCACGGGAAGAAGATCAATAACGAGTGGAACGGGATGATCGGGGAAGTAAGTTTGGTTAGCTAAAAGAGCTCTTCGGTTCAGTGCTCGCCGACACGCACTTTGCATTGGCCTGGGATTCGGCTGGGGTTCTGTACGTGGGCTGAAAGTGTCCGGCCTGGACTTTTCCCTCCACCTCACCCCTTCCTCTCTCTTTCACCCTCAGGTGGTCAAAAAGCAGGCCGTGATGGCCGTGGGCTCCCTTACGATTAACGGGGAACGTTCGGAGGTGGTGGACTTCTCGGTGCCGTTCGTGGAGACGGGGATCAGCGTCATGGTGTCCCGGAGCAACGGCACAGTGTCTCCGTCGGCTTTTCTGGGTAAGGTTTTCCTCTTTCTCTTTCTCTTTTTTTGTTCCTGTTTTGCTATGGACAGACTTGGCTTTGTAATCTTTTTTTCCACCCATATACTTTTGACAGGTTTCACTTTTCTTTTTTTTAAAAAAGAAAGTGCTGTACAGTATACCTCGCACATCCGTGACACATTTCTGTCAGCTTGTAAATTCTACGTTTTAAAAAAGTATTGGACAGCAAACTTACCTGCTTCATATAGTGTCGAAGACGGGGGGCCGGCTTACAGGTGTCGGTCTGCCAGCCACATGACATTGACTGCTTCTGGTTGGGCACCCGGGGGGGCTGCCACGGTTGCCCTTTGGCTGCCGAGCGGTCTCTCGGAGGGCACAGCTCTGTCTCGTGGGAGGAAAGGAATCTGCCAAGAAGGCCAAGCTGTGGTCTTCCTTGGAAGCACGATGCTCTGATAGCTGCCACCAGTGCTCCCTCTATGCTGTGGAGTCTTGTGAGCAAAAATTCTACTTTGTGAGCTGCTGGCATTAAAATTGTGTGTGAGCGATTCGGCTACTGCATGAATTAGTTTGCTCTGGAGCCATCCTTCCAGAGCTAAGACAAAAACGTGTGAGCCGGAGGCTATAAAACTGTGAGCTGGCTCACACTAACTCAGCTTAGAAGGAGCACTGCTTGCAAGCAGTGCTCTCTCTAAGCTGTGGAGTCTTGTGAGCAAAAATTCTACTTTGTGTGCTACTGGCATAAAAGTTGTGAGTGAGCGATTTGGCTGCTGCATAAATTAGTTTGCTCTGGAGCCCTCGTTCCTGAGCGAAGACAAAAATGTGTGAACCAGAGGCTAAAAAACTGTAAGCTAGCTCTCACTAACTCAGCTTAGAGGGAACACTGGACGGGACTTGAAGAAGTGGGGGCCCACCGTAGCTACGGGCCAGCTCCCCGCAGCTTTGGGTGTGAAATTGACCCATTGTATCGGGGCAAAAAGCGGCGCAACATCGAGGCAGCTCTAGTGCGAAATCAGCCTTATACAGTGCTGATTCTCACAATGGTATCTTGGATGAAAGATTTTGGTTATAGTTTAAAAATAGAACAATAGAACCGTGAAATATATGAGAGCGGTATCATATAAAGAAAATATTGATAAAATGTTCCACCGGTGGTATTGGTCTCCAGATAAAATAGCCAAATATCATAATAAGGCATCAAATAAATGTTGGAAGTGTCCCGTAAATGTCGGGACATTCTATCATATGTGGTGGAAATGTAGCAAAGTACAAAAGTATTGGAAAATGATACACAAAATAATCTTTGAAATTTTGGCTATAAATGTGAAGTTAATACCAGAGACATACTTGTTAAATATAATTCCAACTGAATATGACCAAGTAGATGTATATTTACTAGTATATATCATAACAGCTGCACGAATATTACTGGCAAAGAACTGGAAACTGGAGAAAATCCCCTCTAGGGAGGAGTTAAAAATGAAACTGTTGGAATTAGCGGAAATGGATAAGCTATGTTTATTACTGCAGGGAAAAGAAGACAACATACAGCTAAAGAGTTCGTCAAAAGTTTATAATTGGTTAAAGTATAACGAAGACTAACAGACTCGAAAATGTAAAATAATCTGTCATGATGCTATGTATGCTGGAAAAAACTTAAATAAATTAAAAAAGAAACAGATACAGTGCTGATTCTGTGAACTGAGGCAGATCACGAGAGGGAGGGCAGGAAGGGTGTTCTCAGCGCTTTGCTCTTGTGGCCCTTTCTGACATGCCCAGGGAAAGGCCGATCGCCACTTTGGTGTCAGGAAGCAGCAATTTTCCTCCAGGCCACTTTGGCTGGAGATCCTGGAGGTTTTTTGTCACCTTCTGGGCATGGAACAGTGGTCACTTGGAGGTGTAGAGGGGGACGTATTTGTGAATTCCCTGCCTTGTGCAGGGGGTTGGACTAGATGACCCTGGAGGTACCTTCCAACTCTATGGTTCTATGATTCCACTGATCCATGCCCCTATCTCAGCTTAGATGTCACCTACGTAGCCTTTCCCAGTAAGGCAAACAGTAGCTCTCTGGAGCTGTTGTGGGTCAGGAAAACATCATAGAAACATACAGCTGGAAGGTACCCCAAGGGTCATCTAGAAGAAGAAGAAGAGAAGAGATTGGATGTATGCCCCGCCCTTCACTACCCAAAGGTGTCTCAGAGCGGCTGACAGACTCCTTTCCCTTCCCCTCCCCACAACAGACACCCTGGGAGGTAGGTGGGGCTGAGAGAACTCTTGACAGAAACTGCTCTTTTTCAAGAACAGCTCTGACAGGACTACAGCTTGCCCAAGGTCATCCAGCAGCTGCACGCGGAGGAGTGGGGAATCAAACCTGGTTCTCCCAGATTAGAGTCCACGCACTTAACCACTGCACCAAACTGGCTCTCTAGTCCAACCCCCCCCCCAACATAGGAAATTCACAACTACCTCCCCCCACTCCCCCAGTGACCCCCTGCTCTATTATGGGGGTAGTGATGCTCCCTCCTTTCCGGGCACATCATGGTCCCCATTTGAAGCAGACGCCTCACACAGCTGGGATGTATTTTTCAATATGGAACTCCCAGCACACATCTAGAGAACACGATCCCAGGGGGAGCTGTAAACCGTGTCTCGTCCGGCGAGGCCTTCGGGCTCCAGAAGGGAAGAGGTTTAGAAAAGGACCCAAGAAGGTTGGCTGTGGAGGTTGAGGAAGGAGCCGCTCCCTGCAGCAGGGTCAGAATGTACAGCAGAGAAGTTTCCTCCCTGGGCGTTAGCCTAGAAGAAAGGTCTTCTACTGACCACTGAGGCTTTAGGGTAACGAAAGATGTCTGAATCCAACTACTCCCCTTTGGTTGGTTATTACTGAAAATAAATCACGGACACTGAATATCCCTTTCGAATCCTTACTCGCAGGGCTATTTTGGGGCAGGAACGCACAGGAACAGAGTTCCGGTTGGCTCCCAAGTTGGCCACGCCCAGCAGGAACTCATTAGCATAACAGGCCACACCCAACAGCAGGAACTAATTAGGATTGGCTACATTAGGGGTGTGTGGCCTAACATGCAAAGGAATTCCTGCTCCAAAAAAACCCCTGGGTTTTGACAACAAACAAGGTAAACAGAATAACAAGCAAAAGGTGGGTGTGGCTGGATGACCACACTTCTGCAAACATGGGGTGTGTGGCCTAATATGCTAATGGGCCGTGCTGTCAGGGGTGTGGCCCAATATGCTAATGAGTTCCTGCTGTTGGGTGTGGCCTATTATGCTAATGAGTTCCTGCTGGGCTTTTTCTACAAAAAGAGCCCTGCTTACTCTTGCTTTCTGAATTGGAGGCAATGCAGACAATAAGGGGCAGGCTATTCGAGGCAGAGCTACTCGAGCTGTACAACGCAGCTAATAAGACATCCTCCCCTCTAAATCATGGGATATTGCCCACTGCAGGTCATCCTGCTAGCTATTTTCACCAACTTCAGACTCCAGCTTTACCTAGAACCTTGTCACTTGCCAGGTTTAATGCTCTCCCTTCAGCGACCTTAGCTGGGAGGTTATCCCTTTTTTAAATAGACTATGCCCCTGTGTGAGTGGGTCAATTGAAACGGTGCCTCACGTGTAATTGGAATGCCATTACTATGCCAACATTCGACACCGCACTTTATCGTCACTACTTGGTGGTATCAGAGAGCGCTTCCTGACTCACACAAATTGCTTTATTTGCTAAACAGCGATGATGGAAATATAACCGTCTCTGTGGCAGAGTTCTTGCGGGCTGCTCTTTTTATTCGTGGTACAGTCTTGTAATACAAGACTTGTTTTCAGGAGATATGAAATTGAGACTTATTTTACATTGATTTTAGGCTCCCTTACAACGTTTCTCTCTCTCTCTGATTGGTATCCGTTCTTTGCCTTATCTTTTGTCTATTACTCTTTTTAGTGTCAATGCCGATAAAGGGAATTGAATTGAATTGAATTGTAAATCAGTCAACCTCAACAAATTTTTAAAAATTGGGTTCCCCTCCCGCAGTGTCCTGGAAGGAGACGGGCGTCACCTCCTGGCCCCCTGCCGCTGTCGGATGGATCCACACCAAGGCCACGGGGGTTTGGCTCGGCAGCAGGGGTGGATGAACCATTAAGCAGACTAAGCACATGCTTAGGGCACCAGGGCCAAACGGGGCACCGCAAAGTTGGGAAAAGGGTGAAAAGGAAAAAAACCGAACATTTGTTAAAAAAAAAAAGAATTTGATAAAACTAGTGCAAATTGATCATGGTGCACCCTAGGGTTATCTTCTATCTTTTGTTGGTGAGGAGCAGTGTCATAGGCTATGTTTAAAAGCAAAATGCATGTGTTTAAAAGTAAAACAATGGAGCCAAATTCAGTTGTCACGGCAGTCATTTCAGTGACCCTCTCGGCCCCTTTTTAATTTCAGCCCCATGTAAACGTCAAAAACGAAGCGTGTTCAGTTGAGCGGTGCGCAAAAGGAGGGGGGGCACCAAGATTGGTCAGTGCTCAGGGCACCGGTGAGTCTTGATCCGACCCTGCTCGGCAGTGGCTGCCGGTAGCACGGGCCCAGGAGGAGGCGACGGACGTGACTTGCTTAGGGTGACAAAATACCTGCAACCAGCCTTGGGGAAGCCCCGGGAGAGGAACGGGGAGCAAGCACACCGCCCTTTGGCGTCACACGAGTGCCGGCCGACTTTCACTCCCACGTGACCGCACCATCGAACCGACCCACATGATGATCCTTCCCCGGGACTGCAAGGGGAGGTGGCTTGGCCGCTCTTCTCCCGGGATGGGGGTCTGGCTTCCACCCCAGGCCCACCGCAGCAGGCAAGACTCCTGCCTCCCCCGTGTGCTACTCGAGTCGCGGTGCTGGGTCTCTTTAACCAGCATTGTGGCTCGGAAGTGGGGAAGCATCGTCAGGTTACCTGCTGCTGTTTTGGTTGCGGGGTGGGGGAGGAAGGAAAGGAAGACAGTAAGAAAGATCCTTTCCCGCAAGCCCACTGGCCCCCCCCGTCACTCTGGCTCCCGCCGCACCAAGCTTGTTGCGTAACCCACGTCCCCCTTTTCTCTTCTGTGTCCTCTTTCTGTAGAGCCTTTCAGTGCTTCCGTCTGGGTGATGATGTTCGTCATGCTGCTGATTGTGTCTGCCATCGCGGTCTTTGTGTTTGAGTACTTCAGCCCCGTCGGCTATAACCGGAACTTGGCACAAGGGAGAGGTGAGCGTCGACCGCGCCGGAGAGACTCCGCTCAACTCGCTTGCTTCTCTCCCCCCCCCCCTGCCCGCCCGTTTCTTTCTTGGGAAACAATTAGAGCACACAACGGAGGCGGTAGGAGATGCCTTCTTCCCTCCCTCCTTCCCCGTTGGTTGGGCTTTCTTTCCGTGAAAAGACGGGTCAGGACGGCAGCGTTCAAGAAAATGCAGCGCATCCTTTCGGAGCAAAATACACAGAGAGCCCCTCTCCCCAATGTCAGCAAGCTAAGTTTCATGGCCTCTTCCCCTCTCGGAATGACAACTGCACGTTTTTTGGGGGGTACGTTAATTGGCTGGACCTTGAGGAATTGTGTGTTTGTGGGGGGTGAACTCGGGTGGGGGGGAGGATTCGGCTACCCAATTTGAGATGTTTCCTCTTCTGATCCATTTTGTTCAACCGAAAAGGAATAGATGAGCTCAGACCTTGAAAACGCTTCTGCCACTTGCTTGGGATTGCGTTATTAAAAAGGGAACAGAGTTATATCTCAGGAGCACCCAGTTCAGCTGAGTACAGCTTACATTCCAGTTAGCCGTCCCCAGGGCAAGGGTCTTCTCAGTTGTGGCCCCACCCCTGTGACATGCACTCGCTGATAACCAATGTTCCCTCTAAACTGTGGAGTCTTATGAGGAAAAATTCTACTCTGTGAGCTACTGACTGGCTGTTGCATGAATTAGTTTGCTCTGGAGCCCTCCTTCCTGAGCTCAGGCAAAAATGTGTGAGCCGGAGGATAAAAAACTGTGAGCCAGCTCACACTAACTCAGCTTAGAGGGAACACTGCTGACAACACCCCTGCCCAGCAGGCATTACTTGGTTCCTGCAAAGTGTGCAAGGCCGAATTGTTCAGGTGGGCCTTTGGAGGCGAACCAGCTGTTTAGGGTTGGTCTGATAGCATGGTATGGTGCTGGGTGATCGATCTTAATATTTTATAGGTATTGTCTTCTTAAAAAAACTTATTTATGATGATGATGATGTTTGATTGTCGTAAGTCGCCGCGGGACCCTCTGGGTGAGCAGCGACTAATAAAAAAAACTTAATCAATCAACCAAGTGAAAGGAAAGAAGAAGAAGAAAAAGAAGAAGAGACTGGGTTTGTACCCCTTGCCCTTCACTCGGAGTCTCAGAGCAGCTTACAAACTCCTTTCCCTTCCCCTCCCCAGACACCCTGTGAGGTAGGTGGGGCTGAGAGAGCTCTGGGAGAAATTGCTGTTTTCAAGAACAGCTCTGACAGAACTATGGCTTGCCCAAGGTCATCCAGCAGCTGCAAGAGGGGGAGTGGGGAATCAAACCCGGTCCTCCCAGATTAGAGTCCACGCACTTAACCTCTACACCAAACAGATGTCACTTGTACAGCACTTGCAAAAGCATCCCAGGAAGAAGAAGAAGAAGAGGAGGAGGAGGAGGAGGAGGAGG